TCATTAAATCTGAAGAGAGGATAGAATGGAGTCAACATGTTCTCACCTGCATCAAGAAGTTCAAGACTGAAAAAAAAAGAGAGAATTGCTGCAGGAGTCAGAGTTGTCCTGAACTGAAACTATTCAAGCCACATGAAAGCCTCTACATTAATTCTTAGATTTGTTTAATTTTACACAGAACATCTGTGTGATACAACAAATGGGAATACGCACATTGGTGGACCCAACTTCTGACTCAGAAAGGTGCCATTCACTGAAGCTGGATCCCAGCAATCCCTGGAAATAAGTATTTAGTATTTCTTGCTGAACTCTGGAAAATGGACCTTAGAAATTCCCTGGTGTCTAAAGTGGCTCCCGTCTTCTTGCCTGGGATAAAGGAATAGCTGCAGAAATCACCGTTCATCCTGTGAAGCTCAACTTGGAAAGCTGGGGGCGACCACCATCATCACCCCTCCTGCGTGAGGAGCTCAAGGAAGGACCTTGGCATGAGGCGGACGAGTAAAGTGAGGGCAGATACGGAGTGACACCGACTCATCCCTGATTCCTGACACCCTTTCATCTGCTCTTAGAGCATCCCAAGCTGTGCAAGAGCCGCAAATTCAGTCAAAGTAGCAAGGAGACAAAGAAGGTAACTGCAAAACGGTGAGCTGGTAGGTCTGGTGGGAGTGAGGACAAACAAGAGCCTTTTCCCCAGCAACTCTCGTGCGTGTGGGATGGCCAGGGAGGAAGAGTCCGTTTCTACCTCTCAGAAAAACGGTTTTCTCCCATTCGGCTGTTACAGAAGTTTGCATTGCTGAGACAAGGATATGGATGACTTAGGAGTCATTTTAAAGAAGGGGACTCATCTCTCTTCCCAGCTGAACAACTACAACTTTATTAATATTCAAAATGATTCCCTTTCTCCAGCAGCTTCTCAGTAAATTCAGTGAAATTATAGTAATTTATAAAACTCTTATTTCCACCATGGTAAGTAATTCTTTCCTCTGAGTACTTCATATTATTATCAGAAGGCAGCATCTCTTTATGTCACTATTTCTTTCACTGGCTGCAGTTACAACATGCTGACGTGGGGCAGACTGTTGCTAAAAATAATCTGTGCTTCCAGTTGCAAAAATAATACATTATCTCAGCACTTTTGAAAGCAGAAACAGCAATGACCAAAGTCTTCCTAAGCTCTAAAATGCACACATAAATCAAAGCTGATAAATGTTTTTTTTAACCAAGACACTTCTGAAAACAACATCAGTAATAGCTAATATCAAACAATTGGTGTCAGTACAAATTAATTGTCTTCGATAGCATGGAAATAGGGTTTCTGAATTGAGAAGAAGCAAGGGACATACGCATTTTGACATCATTGAGCTTGTTTTTTTCAGTCAGTTTAAGCAAACTGACTTTTTTGCTTCCTATAGCATGTATATGAACATCATTAGGAAGTGAGATAGGGGGAGCAGTTGTTGCTGTTCATCTTCAGGATGTGAAGAATTAAATGCATTAAATGAAGTCCCACGGGAGTCAGGCCTGGATTGGAAACTGCTCAACATCACCTCGATGTCAAGAGCCGGAGGTTAAGGCAGATTTGCAAACAGCTCAATCAGAGAAGTGCGATGCAAGTCAGGACAAAACTCAAAAAGACTCCACTATTCAGCGAGGGAAAGGAAAGGCAAGCAAAGAGGGTGCAGGAACAAGAGCAGCATCCAGGAGGCAGGTGAGTAACCTTCTCCTTGGTGCTCAAAGACCTCAGCAAAAACACTGCTGAGAGACAGGGCACTTGGTGTGCCAGAGCAGCCACCAGCTGCACCACTAGACAAGATGAGCAGGAATAGTTTGGGGTGCTCAACTGCTCCTCTGCTCTCTGCTCGCTTGCTCCTGGCCTCCTTTTTGCGCTTTAAACTGGATCTTTCCAGGACGAATCTGTTAGTGGGGATCGTAGAATCATTATGGTTGGAAAAGACCTTCAAGATAAAGCTAAGCCTTGGAGTCAGCCCCGTATCTCTTTTTTATTTAACGCTATGACTGCAATCAAAGCACTAGATCTTGTCGATGTTGTCTTCTGCTGGAGCAGCCTCCTTGTGCTGAGATGGTGGTGCCTCTTGCGTATTTTCCCAGTTACTCATGCACCAACAAGGAAGACTCAAGTTTCTCAGAGAGTTTCCCTTGGACCTCATATCTGACCATGCTTGGAGCAAGAGGTTGGACCTGAGTCCTCCCCAAATCCCTTCCAACCTAAATCACCCCATAAGCCTGTGATGGAGATCAAGACTGTTGTAAATCTGAGAGCACCCCAAGAGCACAGCCCACACATGGAGCTTTGTCCATCCCCAGCTCTTTGACTACGCAGCCCTAGAAGAAGAAGGTCTGGAGAGAAGAGTCTGAGTGAGCCCTGGTCCAGGGACAAAGTCTGCATTTTCATTCTGGAGTCACACAGTAAAAGAATAGATTGCCAATAAGATTATCTGATAGAAGTGTCAACTCACCTCTTTATTTCTAATGTTAAAAAGTACACTTTCATTTTAACCAGGACTTTTAAAAATCAATATTTTTTTTGGTGTGCGATTTCTGAGGTTATCTGTGTGGGAAGGGATCTCAAGAGAGGATCAAACCCAGGACAGGATGAACTTTACCTGACCAATCCTTCAAGAAGTGTTATTTAAAACTAGTCCTAAGGGGATTAAGATTCTGCAACCTCCTCAGGTAATTTATACCTAGTTTGCTAATTAATGATTAATAAGACATCTGAAGGTGGCTTTTCTTTGTGGTCCTTGCATCTGCAGTGATACCTCTCAGCCCAGAAAGAACTGTACAACACTACAGCAATATAAAGAGTTATTAAGCAGAAGAATCACAGAATCATTATGGTTGGAAAAGACCTTTGAGATCATCAGGTCCAACTGTAAACCCTTCAATACTGTCCTGCTAAACCATGTCCCAAAAGGTGCATTTTCCACCTCCGGGTCAAGATCTCTTCCAGGACTGGTGTAAATGGGAGATGGATGAATTTGTAAAATGCTTTGCTACTCTGTTTGAAAGGAAACATCCCAGAGAAACAGAATTGGGTCTTCTCTTCTCGCTATTATGTTTAGGCATAGCTGTAAGCATGGTTTCCATCTCATGAGACAGTGCTTTGCCCACAAAAACCACCCATAAACCTTGTTAGCTTTCAGACCTGCCAATACCTTATAGCTTGAACCCCTCGCAACGTGCCTCTGAATACCTCAGGAGTTTCCAATAAACCCGTAATTGTTATAAACACAAGCTAACATGCGATACTGCTCTAGCAGGTGAGAAATTCTTACTTCAATGGAATAGATTACACGACTCCCATTTGAAAGGTCTTCATCTTCAAGCAGTTCCTCTTCATCGTTCTCAGGCACTTGGCACAGATGAGGTGGGTCGCTGTCTGGGGCCTTCCGATAAATGAGGTGTTGAAACGTAGAGGAGTTTTCAATGGGTTCGATTTCATACATCAAATCTCCGATTTGCAAGACTCCGCTGTGAATTTTCAAACAGAAAAGCAGATTTGAGGAAACTAAATGTTTTTTTCCAATTGTTTCCTAAATATAAAAAGAAACAAGGTGTATGAACCTTTAGAAGAGAGTCTAAACAAATGAGGGACAACCAGCAATTTCATCAGATTTCCCTTGTATCAAATACGACAGAAGACAATGTGATGGCACAGAGGAAGGGCTGCTGTGAATGTTGTTAATAGCGAATTTGTTATCCTACACACACATAGGAGCACATCCACGGCCCTTCCCACTCCATGGGAATCTCCTGTGGTGGTAGAAGGGTGAGGAATGCTCCGTCCTCTCCAGCCCGGGATTCCCAGTGCGACAGGGACAGGAGAGGAGGGATGAGATGGTGCATTGAGAGCACCTAAAGGAAATATTCCTTTTAGCTCTTTTATAACGCGGATCCAGTGGGAATTTAGAAGGAACTCATCAAACACATTTCTTTGGGAAAAAAAAAAAGTGTCATATTTAAAGCTTAGGATATGTAAGACAGCCATGAAAGAGCAGTCATGCAACTTTGGGGAAAAATGAAACTACAGGTGAATTTCTTATGTTGAATGAAACTGGGAGGGCAATATAAATTCCCGGTGGGGAAGGAGAAACTCTCCATAAGATCTGCTTATCCCCAGGAAGACCCTGTGGCTAAATAGGCTCAGTCCATGAATAACTATAGGAGCTTTTCACTACTGCCACAAAGGGCCGTTCTTACAGATGCAGTTTGTGCCCCTTTGGTCTAGAGGTCCTAAGAACAGGGATGGAGAAGGGGGATCTCGCAGGGGATCAGCCTCATGAGCAGCTATTTGCTTTTCTGTAGGCTTGTGAATTCATGGATTCATGGAATTCATGGAAAAACGCACCTAAAGCACAAGGGCTAGAGCTTGGTTTAAAACTTAGCAACTTAGGTTCATCTCCCAGAGAAGCAGACTACAAAAACAGTGTGTATGGGGGAGCAGGAAAAACTTGAGTTTTGTGGCTCACAACGCATTTCTAGCTTGGCCTGCAGCAGGGCCAGCCCATGACTGCAAGAAGGATTTTACATTATTTATTTGTTCATTGATGCACTTTGCTACATCCATCCTTTCCGTGAGCTTTTGGAAAGGTCCCTGAAGTGAGTATTTTTGGAGAAGAGTAACAGCTTTGCACTGATAATGTTGTAATGGGATATTCAGTGCTGCTCAATTAGACAACGCAGCTGGGGCTGGTTCATTTAAAAATTCTCTTAATCTTCATGGGAAAGGTTACACTGGTATTTCTTTTTGCTTGACTATTACTATAACGTAAATGACTTTTCCAGGAAAGACCTCAAGAGAAATGGCCACAATGTTCATGGGCAACCACTGGTTTAATGATGTGTCCTTGGAAGACTGATTTTCGAGAGGCAATGATGCCCTTCCTGCTTTCCAACGAGTGTTCAGAGCATGCAGCATCGTAAATAAATGTACTTGAAGACTCAGAGCTCACCTAAGCAGGAAAGTTTCTCAAAGGAAAGCAGCAGAGCGGTGCTTATTTATTTGACTGCTTTGCAAAATTAATCTTTGGCATGCAAAACCTTCTACCTGCGTGCCCAATGAGAAAAGAATTCAAAGCACCTTCCTGGGACTAGGATTTTATTAAATCGTGATTTTTGAGGAAATGGGCTCATTTAGAATCTCTGCTTTAGATGCTGTACGGTCTGTAATGTATTTTTTAGCCATGCTCAAAGATTTGTAGTTTGGTACCTGATGCCGAAGCACGTGCTGAGGTAGACGAGGGACCCCGCGGAGCCTTCCACGATGCCCTCGTAGTAGCAGTCCTCCTGCAAGACCCAAATCCCTGTTACTGCTGCATCAGCAGCCCCTGCATCCCCAGCACTTACTGCTCCTCCAGCACCTTTGCAGCGGAAAATGCTCCTATCAAAAAGGTATTTCATAAGCAAAAAATAGAGAAAAAAAGAAGCGAGGACATAAGATGTGATCAGGGAAAAAACATGAGCTCATGGGGGCAAGAGGGAGCCCCAAATGGCCACCTAAGTGGTACAGCATGAAAAGGAAACATGAAAGTCAAGACTCGAGGGAGAAATCAAAGCAGAGTTAATTAGTAAAGCTACTTGGAAATCAAAAAATGTTTCATCAGGGTCAAAACAGTGAGGAAAAATATGTCATTTGGTGCTGATGCCCTTAATAATAGAAAATAAAGCATTTTGATAATGAGAAATTAGTCTTTTTTGGTATTTCTAGTGGTTTTTCTTTTTTCTTTTGATGACATAAAATTACACAGATTTAAGAAACTTCAAAACTTTGAAATCAAGTGTTGCTCTGATCAATGTGAAATTGTTTTTCTGTTTCTTATCAGCTCTTTAGGCAATTTCCTTCTTTCTTTAAATAAAAATATAAGAACGGCGGATGTTTAGAAAATTGCCTGAAAAACAGAAAGACGTTTCTTGCTTAGGTTTGTTGGTATAATCAGATGACCCTGCAAGGAAGATAAATAGGAATTTAATTCTACTCAATGTTGTGTCATTAACATATGTCTAATCTTACCTGGATGTATGGATATTCAGTTATCAGGTCTCCGTCTTGACTGTAAGTAAAAACGGGGAGATCCTTGGCTATCAAATTTCTGAAAATGAGAACATAAAAATCCTTAAAATTAGAAACATGAAGAATTAGACTACCATGAAATACCAAATATCCTATGAAGCTGTTTTGTTTCTCCCCTGCAGGCTGCAAGAGAGACAAAAAGGTGAGTGCCTAAGACACACACATTTATGTGCTTCCAAAATGCTGTTTGTTTGGACGTAGGAATGACTGTGGTCATTGAGCGTGTGCATCCAACCTACTCCTCGTGCATGTGGCTGCGTTTAACATAACAACAGCCCTACCAAACCACATAGCCAACATCCCTGAAAGACCATTTTTCTCATCAAAGTTCCCCCTGTTCCAAAGCTGGGCATCAGGATCCACAGAAAAAGTGAGGAACATCCCCAAGTGCTTCCTTGGGACACCAGGGCTTCCCTGGGATTCCATGGAGAGGGATGCCAGGAAAGGGGTTATGTGGGTGCTCCTAGCACACTGGGAATGCTGCACATCCCCATAGACGATGCAAAAGCTACCTGGCTGGATAAAGCCCAATCTGATCCCGTTTTGAGCAAGAGATGGGACCAAGGACCTCCCTTGGGGTCCTGTGGGGCAGGCAGGGGATGGGCAGTTGTGCTCAACCATGGGGAGCAACAGAGCAGATTAATCACGATAATTAATCTGTGCAAGAGTGGGAGAGGAAGGAGCAAACACTTACTTTGCTTGCACGAGATGGACGATATGGTGGTTTCCTTCCGCTGTTATTAAATACGACACCTCCTCCTAAACCGTTTGAGACGCAGCACGTTTATGTTCTCAGGATTTAATGAAACCTCATTCATTTCTCATGAAAACCCCCTAGTGCCTCTCCTGCAGCGTGTCCCCAAGGGTGATCTTCCCAAGGGAACACCTTCTCGAGAGGCACCCTCGCTCCGCCTGCTTACTGCCCCTCATTCCCTGCTGACGGCAACTTTTGGGCCAGGTGAGCACATTTTGGCCTCACATCCCTGATTTTGCAGCCTCCCATCTCAAGGCATTTAATTTTGCCCTCTTAGTCTGCTCCTGAGTGAAACCAACTCTAGCTCGTATAGACCTCGAGCCCTGGATTCCCGGGGCTGAGATGTTTTCAAGGAAAATATTCAAAGCCTTTGATTGGCACAGAAAGGCTCCAGAACACGGCCCCAAACCCTTTTATCTTGTGCAGTGCCGTATCGATTGCTTGGAGCACGGTTCCCGTTTTACTCTTTGCCAAAGGCTCCTTCTCTGGAGCCTCTTTATTTTTAAGAACCCCCTTTGTAGCGTTTAAGCATCATGACGATAGCATTTTAAAAGGAGAAAATGAAAAGGAATTAAAAAGCCCTTTTTTTAAGAATTTGGCAAATCAACAGCCACAAGCCTGAAGTGACAAACGCTTCCACCTCCCCAGCAGCCTCTGGCATGTGGGGCTGGGGAAAAAAAGCACATTTTCCCCAAATCCCAAGCAGCCCCGACTCGGACTGGGGATCTGGAGGAGCTAAACCAGGCACTGGCCAGGCCAGCAGCAGTTTCCTAAAAAGCAAATGACCTTTGCAAGCGCCCCATCCCTTGGCTCCAGCTTCCTTGGCACCGTTACTTCCGAGTAGAGGATTCTGGACATCTCCAAAAAACCTAGAAGAAACCAGCTGGTGAAAACAGGTATCCAAATACGACCGAGCTACGGTGGTCTCCCGTCAGCTGAGCCGTCAGGAATTGATTTTGTTTTGTGTTTAAGGCAAAAAAAGAGCATTATTCACACCAGCCGATGAAATACTATCCATGCCTGCAACACAGAAGGAGGATTTTAAATGGAAGTTGTTTTAAAATTTGGCATGTTGAAATTTGCAAGCCCATCTATGTTGAATTAAAGGTATAAAAGAGCTGGCTGAAGAGCTGTTGTTAATACCAGCTGCCAATGAAGCCCGGGATACAAGAAATTCCAGCAACAATTTTCAAAGGGAGAAAATTAGATGATTTCTGTAATTGCAAGATGATGCCCTTTGATCTCGAGCAAAAACACAGAACCAGAACTGAGGGCGGATCGCAGGAAATGCAGCAGCGGGATTTAATTAACGGAGTTAATTACATCCCGGCCTGCATCCCCCCGCCGGTGTCCCCGAGCTGGTGTCCCCAGGCTGCGTCCCCAGCTCACATCCCCCTAGCGCCATTCCCCTGTCCTTGTCCCCAGCCCATGCCCCTGTGTCACATCCCGTGTCACCCCTGTCCCTCACCTGGGCAGAGGAGCAGGATCAGCGCCGTGGTCCTCATGGACGGAGGGGGCGGATGGAGTCTCCCTGCCATGTCCATGCTGGTCCTGGCCAGCCCTGCTGGGACACGGGGCTCAGCCTGGATACCCCGGCCTGACGCCCGCTGTCCCCAGCCCCAGGCCACCCTCCAACTGCCATTTGGGCCATTTGCCACCTCCTGCCATCCTGGTGCCTCCTCCGACTGTTCCCTCCTGTCCATCCTATCCCCCCTGCCATTCATCCCATCCCATCCCATCCCATCCCATCCCATCCCATCCCATCCCATCCCATCCCATCCCATCCCATCCCATCCCATCCCATCCCATCCCATCCCATCCCATCCCATCCCATCCCATCCCATCCCATCCCATCCCATCCCATCCCATCCCTCCTCCAACCACTGCTTGGGCATGTTCTGCCACTTCCCCCTGGCTCCATCGTCTTATCCTGTCCTTCCTCCACTGCCACCTCCTCCATCATGTCCCCTCCTTCTCCACCTGCCACCCACCCTATTCCACCCCACC